AAGAAGGGTATTAAAAAGAAAAAAGGACAAAGAACATAAAATATATTTTGGTAGTAAGAGAGAGCATTCGGTATAAAAGCAAACACTCCTTTTATCTCAAATATGTCCATGAGGGAATCACTAAATTATAGTCATCTAAAGACATAAATGAGAGACATAAGTAATGAATCTTGATGTATACTGGCAGCAAAGTTTGTGGCTTGAAATGTGCTATGAAGAGACTTTAATTAAAATATTGAAAATAAAATTTAAACCTCAAGCTTTTTATTTCCCCCCTAGAGGTATGCTGGAAGACATACAGGATGTTTTGGTGTTTCTAGATTCCCAAGATTTTACTGCAGAAAGGAGTTAATATTTAAAAAGTGCATTTTCCTACAGAAAAAAAGACTAAAATCTCAAACACCACTAGTGTCATTTTTCGCCAATTCCTTAGTGATAAATACATATTTTAGGGGATAGTTATTATATGTTCATCAGTATGAGATATGAGATAAATGCTGAAATAGTTGGAATGACTAGCAGAGTTCCATAAAACTGGAAGATCCAGTGAACACGTCAAAGGTGTCTTACCAGGGGCATCTGGACTAAACAGGCCGCTTTCCTGATTACTGACCAATAGGGGTGGGTTCTTAATTTTTTCAAATGAAGAATGATTTGTAACTTTTGATTCCCAGTAGGAAAACTAGTTTTAAAATAGCTAAATATTGAGAGTTGCCACTTCCTGCCCCCAAATCCTGATTGATACTGAAATATCTGAGAACTGGCACAGGGCTAAGACTGGACAGCCTATTAGGCAGTGGGTTATAGGTTGGCACTTGGCTCAGATCTATAGTAATTCATTTCATGGATACAGTCTCTACTGAATATCCACAAGGCAGTTTACCACATATGGCTAAGTCTAGAGGATCATTCTTTATTGGTTATTTTACTCTGAAGATAGGAATCTGATATGCTGTATGAGAATCTTAAAAAATGTTTTTTATTCAGACACCCTTTCGGAGGATTCTGAGTTCAGAGGCCAATTTGACCTCCTTGGGTCAGCACACTGGGTGCCAGGCCACAGAAAAAAAGCACATATTCCTAAGAGCCCTAGGGGCATCACATTTGCCTGGATTTTCCACAAGAGATCATGAAGCTTCTCCAGTTCTGAAGAGTTAAGTGTTGGAGCTGTGGGGAATTTAGTCAGGCAGTGGATTGTGGCACAGACAGAAACAGGATCCCTCCTCAAATAATTGGTATAAGAGGTTATGTCATACAAATATCTGTCTTCTGGTTCAAATATCCCAAATTAATCGCGAATCAATTATAATTCATGTAAGATCAAAAAAGAAACACATACACAAGAAAGTCTGTTTTAACCTGAAATAATTCTGTTGATATTTGAATTGCTTTCATGGGACATTTGCTTTAAACCACAAGATATCTCCATCTCCAAGTACAAAATCCCTTCTCCCCACCCCCCACCCAAACAAACAAGAAAACAAACAAAACCCCAAACCCACAACTCAGCTTCAAATAAGTTTGGAAGAAATGAGACTCTAAATATTTACATATGGGGCAAGAAATAAATCACAAAACTATTTACAAAAATACACAAGCTTATATGCATTAACAATTTACACCAGTTCACAAAAATATTAAAACATAAAAAAACACTATATAAATTAAAGAAATCAAAAGTATGATCTAAGACTTCCTAGGGTGCTTCTCTCATGCAGGTCATGGTTGAAAAATCAGGTTTTGCTATCTCAGAATCTAAACTGTAAAACAATCATTTTTATTCTTTGAACATTAACAGTACTAAGCAGATAAGAAAAAAAGACCCTCTGTGGACACCAACATTATCTTGCACATATTAAAAATACATCATTCCTGACATTTCCATTACACAGTACTGACAATTCACATGCCTCTAACCATTTGGAAGAAACTTTCTGACATACTTTGACTTTCTTATTCATTTCCTTGCACTCTCTGTTCAGACCATACTTTGCCAACATACTGAATAGGTGACCTAAAGGGATGGAACAGATAAATGGATTTTATAGGCTCCTTCTTGAACTAAAGGGGCAAATTTCAAATATACATCATAAGCATCTATTTCTGCTTCAAATGTGATACCCACTCTTCTATCCCAACTCACGTTCATGGTCCCTCTTCTTCACAGAAGTAGCTCTAGAGTTTTTCAACCTGACCTAAATATTTAAAAATGCTTTGCCTTCCTAAGGAATTGTGCAGGCCTTACCCTTGGGACCATCCCAGGGAGTTCTTCAAACTGAGCATTTAAAATATGTGAATGAAAAGGAAATTTATACAGTAAGAAATAAGGCTCAGATTAAGTTTATTATAAAGAATATGGCATCCTTGGGACTCTTAGAGTCCCTAGCCAGACATCCAGGGAATACTTATCTCAATCAAACTGAACTGTGGAATCAGAGTTTTTTTCAAAAAGATAAAATCTGGAGACATGGCTCAATAAATTAGGGGTTTAATGCATAAGGCAGTTCCACTTCCTTGATCATAATGCTCCATGTCAACATTTGAAAGTAATAACATTCAATTACTGTATTTGTGAAGTCACACACAAAGGTGAACAATGCTGAGGTAACCTGGCTCACAGTGATTTGCCATCTGATTTCTACCCCACATATTAGGAAGGAAAAGATGTGGGCAAAGTCTTTCAAATAACTGAATCCAAAGTTAAGGCTGTTGCTACATAATTAACTAAACTATAGACTTTCTCTAAAGTTTGTGTTTCACACTTATACCAGTAATCTGAATCATTATTCTATATTCAAAATATTTACCTGATATTTCCAAACCCATAGGACATTATTAATAAAGAAGTTGTTCTGAGGAATTAAATGTCATATTTATAAAATTGATTTTAGTTTCAGGAGTAAACAATGTGTGTGTGACAACAAATCCACAGATATTAAAATTGGCCTGGACTTCATTCACTACTTCTTTCTGGGCCCTCAGTTACTGAAGCCATGTGTCCACTAGTTACACCAGCCCCCTCTTGCTAACATCCAGATTGCTGGTGAGAACTTTCAGGGCTGGTATGATCTCCAAGGAGCAAGGGATTGCCTACTTGATAAAAAGATGAATAAGGTTAAAAAAAAAATTAGTGCTGCATATTCACCAGAGATCCAACTCTTCAATGTAGCACCCAATGTGTTTGTGTGCCAGATGGAAGCATCCTCTCAGGTTTCCTAACATAAACATTTTCTAACATCAGTTGGGCCTGCACTCTTAATGTAAAGGCCTAAACTTCTACAGACATTTCACATATTGTTTTTTCAAGATCTTTACTCTGGTCTTTATTGCATCCCTCTGATCAATTCTGGGGAACAAAAGAAAACCTTATAGAGTATTTTCATATATAAATATGTTGCTCTGAAATTTTTCATTTTCTAAATATAAACCCCTAAAATGTAATCACATGTTTTTAAATTAAAAAAAGAGGACTGGCATGAATCCTAATCTTTACACAATTTCACAGCAATAATAGCAGCATATTTTAGCCTCTTAAAAGATTTCTTCTTTTGCTCTAAATAAAAGATAATTCCAAGTTCTAAAAAGCCAGAGCAGCAATCATCCAGTAAATGGAATAAAATCTCCTGTGTATTCTATAAACTGAACATTTACAATATGTGAATGTATAAAACTCAAGTATTATCACAAGTTATGGAATGGAATGACAATCTTAGCTCACACAGTAAATACAGGACTGTTCTGCTAGTCTGGTGGACCTGTGGTGGGTGGGCTGGGAAACAAGAGTAGAGTTAGGCTAGAGAGATGTTCTGTTCCTCCTCTGATAAGGAATGAACTTTCAAAAGAAAGTCCTAGATATTAAACATGTTTAACATGTCTACAGAGTTATAAAGAGCTATACCTGAAATGCTGGTGTAGATGATAATTACAGTAAGACCGTGATCATATGAATACAGAGTAAGCATATACTGAGTGACTCCTTAGAACATTATGGTAGCTGCTGGAACTCCAACTGGTGACATGGGGCTGTGTACTTGGTGGTTACTGCAACAATGACATGCAGTACAGATAATTTGCAGTTACTGTAAGAATTCCTAGGGAACATATACTCTGGTTTAGAAACAGAAATTATCACATAAATCTATATTCCTGAAAACAGTCATAACACGCTGTTTTTTTCTTTAATTGGAAAAGGTTGCTAATTTAGAAGAACAAGTACTGTTAACATTTTACTGGAATCCCAATTTACTAAATATTATTGGGTGGGGGAAATCTGCAGTCAGGCATCACATTAAAAGCAATGATACAGCTTTCTGGTGTTAATAAAGTTAATTGACAATAAGAATTTCACATTCTTCTGCCTAGGATGTTTCCCTAAATTCTAACTTGAAAAATCCCTCCTGTAGTGACATGAGCTTGCTCACTGTGAAGAGACTACTGAATGTTTAAAGTCTTAATTTCTTTATGTTTTAATTATAATGCTCCAATTGTCTGACTTATCTGAAAGATAAGGGAGTTTTCTCCACTCTAATTTAACATACAACCAAAAGTTAATAAATTATTAATATAGGATGGCTAAAAAAATAATTTAACACACAAGCCCCTTCTCGGTCAAGATGAATGAAGTGATAATGGAAAGAAGTTTCCATGTGGGCAGGCTGTGCAGCCACTGATGGGGGCGTAGGAACATAACAGCAAATGCAAAAGCCCACCAGGAAATAGATGTAAACTGCTCTGAACTAGGTAGCAAGTGCTAAGAAGAAAAGACAAAGTTAAATTTAAATTCAGTTAAAGGCAGTCCTCAGGCTCTTATAAATTAGCCCTATATGGCAAGTACGGTCTGTGACAAATTTCTTTACTATGTTTTCAACACAGTGCTTTACAATCACTCAGATCTCTTTTAAAGACAAAAATGACACAGTCTATAGATGAAAGAGGTGGTAATGAAGCAGGAAAGGGCGGGGAGGATGGTGATTTGTTTACTTTTATTATATTTTCTTTTTAACGTGGTCAGGGGTTTTGTAGATTTTTTTTTTAATCTTTTTTGGTTATTGAAAAAAATAGAACAGTCCACTGTCCAGCAGAGGCTGCTTCAACTCTATTGCTCCCGGGGCTCATTCTGCATGAATCTGTGTGTCAGGATGTGGCAAAGACAACTCTGTGGGCAGGAAAGCCCCTTGACCCAACGCTGTAGCATATGTCCTGCTCTGTGGGTGGGCAAAACCAGAGGGCACATATGTTCCCATGCCCCCGCCTCCAAAGCCTCCTCGCTGGTGCTGGGGCAGGGAGTGGTAATCCTCCAGGTTGTCATACTGGGACACAACAGTCATATTGCTCTGGCGCTTGCTGTGCGTTTGGTACTGGTACAGCACACTGGGGTCCCTTTCCATGTTCTGGGTATGATGAAGTTTTAGGCTATGGCTCCTCTCTGGCTTAGGGGGTGGGACCATTGACTGAGTGAGGTGCTCCTCCTCTTTGTAGCAGTCTCTGGAGTGTTTCTCAGGGGCAGGTGGCTGCCTGGCTCGGGGCCGCTCCAGCTCTTTGGAGAGCCTCACCTCTTTGTGGTTCAATCTTAAGGACTCCTGCCCTGTGGTGTATTTCCCTCCAGAATTATGGTAGCTGCCTGGCTCAGAAGTGTCTGGAATTGTTTTGGGCCCATAATCTAACTGGCCAGTTGCCTGGGGGTATGGTGGCCCATTTTTTGATTCACATAATTGCCTATGGCTTGCTTCCTGATGCACCCTGTGCTCTGGGAGACTACAACCCATGTCATGAAGCTTTCTATTCCTAAGGCTGCTTTGCTTCTGAGGGAGGGTTGGCTTCTCTGCCTGTATACTGCCATACCCTCCATGGTGGGGGGCTCTGTCAAACTCTGGGTCTGGATGCTTCCTATAAAAGCGGTCGTCTCCCTCAGGACTCACAGCCTTGGCTGGGTGCCGCCCTTCCTTTCCTTCTGCCACTGAGAGAAGTCCAGTTTTCCCAGGATCTGATTTACTGCGCAGATGGATGACATAGATCCCACCCAGGTCATCCTGCACAGCTGGCGTCATGTTGTCATACTGAGACATAACAGGCGCTTTCACCTTCTGCCGTGCACGGCTCTCTCTCCGGATAGACTGCATGCGATATTTTTCCATGTCCTCTAGATCCCACGAGGCGTAGGTGTGCTTTACATCAGCAGGTGGAGGCATGTTTACTACATTATGGTCATTACCAGAGAAATAGCCAGTCATGTTGGTCCGCGGGCGTGGAGGCAAACCAGAGTAACTGTACAAGTTCTTGCCTTGTAGCCTGGGATTGTAGAAAGCAAAATCACGACTTGGCAGGCGATGAAGGGGCCTCAACTGTACTGTGCTATAGGCATCCACATCACACAGGGCCCCATCAGGACTGTAATAGGAACTAGAGGAACTGGAATATGGACTATAGCGGTAATGGACCCGTCCATTCTCAAAGTAAGGCTGAAGCTGAGTTACATGATAATCTGAGCGGGCCTGGGAGGACTGATATGGCTTAAACTGGTACAGGGGCCTTGGGCAGTAGGCTGGTTCATCATCTGGGGGAACTTCTGTCCGTGAAATGGGAACAGAACGAATCATGGAAGATGGGGGAGCATGGAGAGATTGCACCCTCCGGATGGTAGGGTATGGTGGAATATCTTCAGGATAGCAAGCATTCCTAACTGAGGAGCTCAAAGAAGAAACATACTCCATCCGGTTGCATGGCTTGGAGTGGTGTCCAGACGTGTTTCTTCCCGGGGCCACATAGGTGTTATAACGAGGACCCATGGAGGCTGGTGGCTCTGATCGGGCACCATACACTTGGTGTTGCTCCAATTTATTATGATGTGGAGGTACACTCTGGGGACGGAATTGGCAGGTTGGAGTCATATTGAAATGCAAACAGTTTTCTGGACCAAAGGGCTCAGTGGTGACATCAGGCCTAGCAAAGGAGGAATAAGCTATTTTCTGAGAAGCATGCTTAGGTTGTGGGACAGGCAGTGGCAAAGGCAACACATCATCCACTGAGGCTGATGACGCAGTGACAAAGGAGTGGTAATTTGAACTGCTAGCGGCATCTGCACTGTTGGAGTGCATGGCGGCAGCCATCTTACTCTCCATTGTTCTGGTGGGGGGCATTGGTGCAGAAAAGCCACAGGAGTGCCCAGGGAAGGACTCGGCTCGCATGTGGAGCAGTGGGGCCCTGGTACTCTCCCGCACTTTCTCAGGCAGGCCTGGCTGGAGAGCAGTAGTAACCATAGGACACTGAGCAGCAGCTGCACAGCTATCACTGACAAAGATGGGTGCAGGGTCATCCACGGCTCGAGGTTCAGGTGGCCTCTCTGGAGCTGGAACTACTCCGTGAACCTATTCAAAGATGAAAATATTATGAGTCCATTTTTTTTACACTCCCCTTATGAAATCAAATGCTATTAATTTGTAACTCACAAACTGAGGCTATTTAGGTAGCAGCTTTAACCTTCCCAAGCCATGCAGTTGTACTGGACCTGTTTCCACTGGCAGGAAAAAGAGCCTATGCTGCTACCTGGTATATTACCATCTCTGGAGAACTGTTCAGGGTTTTCTCCATTTGTGATGGGTTTTAAATATGAGAGGAGGTTGCCTATGATGATGTCTTAATGTGAAGACCGAAAGGTTTGTCAAATAACACTGTCAAGCTTAAAAATAAACATTTGCCCTACTGCTCTAGCTTAGTCTCAACATCAAGAACACTTTATTCAATAAATATAATTGATTCTATCATCTGGAAGTGGTTCACAGTTGGACATAGAGAGAAGTTGTGAACCCCTAATACAGAGAAAAATACAAAAGTGACTTGTCCAAGGTGGCATTCAAGTCAGAGGTTATCTCTCTCCCTACCTTTGACCAACTCATTTGTGGACCCATAGGCCAAATACAATCCTCACAGAAATAAGCAAATAAGCTCTCTCTGAAAAGTAATTGCTAGAACTAGCATCCTCCAAAGAAGGACCAGAAATTTAAGTCCTTTCAATTGAAGGTGACCACAAAAAAAAAAAAAAAAACCTGTGTGACAACTTTTAGCATTTTGTATATAATACTCTCTCTTCAAAATACATACTTGATTATGGAGCAATCTGCTGGTTAAGGTTGAGAAAAATAACAAAAAATCCTAATGTACTAAAATCTTTTACACTTCTAAAACAGGCAGAGATATCTTCAGAGTGAGGCAAATTCACTGAGTAGATGGGAATGATTGGCATAGCGTAGTCATACATGACTTGCCCAAAGTCACGGTGAGTCAGTGATGGATTTCCAAAAGGGGAAAAACAAAAAACAAAAAACCCCCACATGCATGACAGCTAAAGCCCAGTTTGTCTCATGTTATCCCTTTGTATAACCATAAAGAAATGTAGGAAGAAAAGGTACCAGGTATAAAATTGTAGTCATTTAGTAACTGCTGCAGCAGCCAGGCAAAGGCAGAACCCTAACTTCAAACCAGAAGTATTTCATGGAAACCTGCCATAAGTGTTAAAAATTATGTTGTATTCAAATAAAGTTGTTATCAAAGATAACAACACACCCTGCTGAAAAATGACATACCTTTGGGAAAGCATATTTCATCTCACCAACCTTCTCTCTTCTTACCTTGTGGGAATCATTCAGTCCTATACTGGCTGCAGCTTGTACTTGCCCCGCGACTGGCAGCTGCTCTGTGGTCCTCTGGGCAGGAGGCGGGGGGAGAGGGCGATGACTTCTGTGTGTGCGCTGAAGGGTAGCAACAGCAAACCCAGTGGCAGTGGACTGTTCACTCACAGCCCAGCTGGCATCCCTGGTGCTTATTTCAGCTGTTGCTGGAGTCGCTGTCATGTAAGTCATGGTGGCTGTGCTGGTATTCTCTTCAGGGGACCCAGAAAGAGGACAGCTTTTGTCTCTAGGCAAATTTGAAGGCATGGAAGATTGGTCTGCAAGTTCTGAAGGGTGATGGGGCTGATCCACACTTGCACCAAGGTAGGCAGGAGACTGATCCCCACTGTAGAAATGGAGTGCAGACTGGTCCTGCTCTACGAAGGGGATGGTTGCCACAGTGGTCTTCCCAGCCTGGTCTTCAGGGAAACCTACATGATCATCAGACTTTTCTGAGTCTGTTAAGGGAACTAAAGTAATTCTGGCCTTTTCTGGGTCCCCAGATAAATAGTTTCGATGTAGATGGTTTCCTGGTAAGTCTACTTGGTGGAGTTGCTCCCCAGATTCATTTACCTTGGTATGAGTAGGATCCCCAACAGCTGTTGTCTCTGGGAGAGGCTGGTTGCAGTTTCCCAGTGCATTGTTCTGGAGGTGGAACTGCTCTGCTGGTCGATCTGTTTGGAAATAGGCCTTATCTAGAGAAATACTAGAGTACGGACTGGGCAGTTTATCTTCAGCTGTAGCCCCTGCTGTGTCTCCATAATTTGTGTACCCAGCCTGAGAAGTCCCTGGTCTCTTCAGTGACTGAGTAGAGGCTTGCTGCGCAGACTCAGCTAATGCTAGCGCCAACATTCGGGCGACATTTTTCGGAGGCGGTGGCGGTGGGATAAGAGAGACTGAACTGACAGGAACAGGCTCCTGAGGGGGGTCATGGGTAACTGCTCCTAGTGGGAAATTGGGAAAAAAAATGAGAATGAAAAGGTAGCTTACGTTATCCTATACGGAAAGCCAAACACTCCCCACTTGATTATTTAAAAACAGGTGCCTTCCATATTTCAAAATGGCAATCCATGATCTTCTATCCCACATGCAAATGCTGTAGAAAATACATCTCGTTTGGAAGGAAAACTAAGAGTGCTTAAAGGTTGCAAGCTCCTCTTGAATTGCTACAGAAATGGGGAGGGGGCTCAGAAAAGATTGCTTAGAACACAAGCTTCAAGGCTTATGGATTGTTACTAAGGCTAGTTTTCACACTGGATGGTATAGGCTGTTAACTTGTAAGGCTACAATAATGATATTCATTAGAAGAGAAAATTGATTCAAGAGCTATGAAGTTGTACCAAAAATTATCAAGGAATTCTCACTGTCCATACAGGTAAGGGACTTTTGTGATGGTCTGAAGCAGGACCACAAGCTCTTTGGGGAGTTTTGTTTGACTGACTTTAATGTGGGGCTTGAGCCATCTGCCAATGCTCAGAGAAGCATTCTCCTGGATTAAAGGCTACCTGTGGAGCAAATTCTCTCTTAAAAGGCACAGATGGATTTACAAGATTGAAGATCCCTCTTAATTTAAAGAAAGAATGGAGGAAAACAAACGGTACCTGTCTGAGTCTGTCCAGAAGCTACAGCCTTACTCTGACTGCTTGAGACAGACCGCTCCTCTTTCCCTGGCAACTCTATTTCTTCAGCAGCTACCTGGTCCAGGGGCTGGATTTCAGGTTCACATCCTTCTTGGGCCTCTCTCTCATTTGTTTTCATCTTTACTATTTGGGTGGGGGATCTATTTGTGATATCACTTTCTTCTGTGCTTTTGTCCCAGGTCGGAGATGATGCATTCTGAGCTGCAGTATTTGAGCCAGTACTGATGACTTCTGACACCCGAGGTGGAAGGGTCACTGAAATCGGCTCAGATATGTTCATGGAAGGCGATTTGCTTAATTTTCGTCCAATCTTCGGAGAGAAAGCATAGACGACCTTTTCAGTAAATGAGGATGATTTGGATGACTTCTCTTCAGTTGGGCTCAGGTCCAGGGTAAAGAATGGACTCATTTTCTCCTGAACTGGAGAGACAGGTTCAGAACTTGCTGTGCTTCCTGGAGTCTGAGACTGGCTACCACTTGGCTCTACATCCTTTTTACTGGTACATGGTTTATCCTTGGAGTATCCTAATGAATCTAAAAAGGAAGCACCACTCTCCAGGCATTCTGATTCGGCCTTAGGGGGACTACACTGAAATGACATTGGATCAAAATCCAGGCTGGCTACTCCAATATCTGGAGGGCTCAAGTCAACATCCTCAGCTGAATGAGGAGACAGGAGAGCTGGGATATGCAGCAACCCTACCTCCTCCTCACTCTCATTGTCATGGGGCAGATTATCATAGGAATTACAGCGGTTCCCCAGCATTTCTCCATTAAAAGAGGCAGACAGGGCATCACTGCTAGATCGGGGTCTTCTGGGTCGGAAGAGCTTGGAATCACCTAGTAAAAATGGACAACAATGTCAAAGTATGAATGTCACAGGATATATAATGCCATGAGAAGCCACCTACTTGGTATAGCAGTAACTCACCATTTAGGTAAGAAAATGCAACTTTTCATTTTCTTTTTGTAAATTGTCTCGAGACACACAGATCATTGCAATAACAAAACTCCCCAACCAAATGCTAAATAGCAAGCACATTTCATATAATCAGAGGGAGAATGCAGTGCTTCATGGTTTTGATAAGAAAAAGGACCAGGACTCTTGAATTGTTATTGGTCCAACACTGACTCTTTGTGTGACTCTGGGCAAGTTTTTCATTTCTTTGTGTCTTATTGTATCACTAGCCTCACACATGACTTGTGAGGTAAAATAAATCACTTTAGATAGCATTTTGGACATAAAATAGCAAAAAAGGTTGTTTCTTTGGAGGAAATATCCTATGCTACCCAAATTTCAAAAAAAAAATCTTGATTAAATAGCATTAACATATACTTAAATGATTCCTTTCGAACACTTAATTTCATTTTTTTTTTTTTTATTTATAAGACTAGGCCTTCAGTTTCTCAAGCAGAGTCCTGGGGAGTGGTAGTATTATGCAATTTTATGATGTTGCTAAAAGTCCAACTGGTAAAAATGAAACCACTTATTCTATGAGACTTTTAATTGCCATAGTGAAAATGTAATATAAGAAGTGAGCAATCTGTGTATGGGGTGAAGGTGGGAGTTCATAACCCACTTGAATCAAAGTGTGGAATATGATATGTCAAGAAATTTGTAATGTTTTGAACAACCAACAATAAAAAATTAAAAAAAAAAAAAAAGAAATGAGAAGCTATCTTAACATAAATATATATACTGATACATCTACCACTTAAAAACATAATCTTGACCCAAATATTATTTTCCACTTGACATGAACCTAGTCCATTGCATTGTTTTCATAGATTATGCTGACTATAGTTTAATTAAAAATCTTGGAGAACTTTTCTAAGATTGTCAGCCACTCAGATAGAGTGATGTGGGAGCACTATGAATCACAAGGAAAATCACTGGTCAATGAAGATCTGGCAGTTAGAAAGGTTAATAAATGAAGATGAGAAAATTGATCAAGATGATGATACAGGGATACTTGAAAAGCACATGATCTGAATATCAACAGATTAAGAAAAGCCCTTGGAAAATTGATATAGTTTTTGATTACTTTTGTAGAAAGGGCCTTCTTTATAATCTGTGGCACAAATCAAAGATCAAATAAAGTTCTTACATTTGTCAAAAAATATTGTACCTTCTTCCAAGTCAATGTTGGAATAATTCCTGGTTTAGTAAATAGTTGCAACTATAATTTAACTTCACTAAACAATATAGTACACATTTATTTTAATATTTTAGTTTTGTTTGTCAAGTTACATTGCAACAAAACCTTTTTCATGGTTACCATGAAATCTTGGTCCCGATTTTAAACAGATCCATTTTACATTGCTTCTCCACGTGCTAATTATCCTGGGACAATGAGACCAGCTATAATCAATCTGCTTTATGAAATTTAAGGTCAGGTTAAGCAATTTGGAAGACAACTGGTCTAAACATCAAAATGCTTCACTTTATATTTTGTAGCAAACATTTTGTTCCCACTTGTGAAAGTTAAAGAAGGAGACAGTTGAAATCCCAGTTTTTACAAGGCATTAATCAATATAAATGGTTAATTTAAAACATTTTAGCCATTTAAATAGTAATCCTGCCAAAATACTGCTGCCATATTAGAACAGCAAAGAACTGTAATCTGAACAATACTAAATACTAGAATTCTTGGAAATGATAATCAATAGTCTATTTATTAAGTATATATTTATAAAGTACACCCAAGTGCTATGTTCATGTTCTCTTATGCAAGCTATCATGGAATAAAACAATTGATTCTTTCAGTCTTACCATCAACTGCATGAAGAGAAGTAAGAGACTCCTCACTTTTTGCTGAGCGAAGGGTTCCTTCTGCTCTGCCACCTGAAGAATCAAAACCAAAAAGTGTTTAATTTTAATTTTGCCGCATATTATACAGTTAAAGGGATCAGTGTTTTTCCTAACACATGCTTAAATTTCCAAGAGTGGTTGGCTGTACAGATTGAGAGTCACATTCAATTTACCACCTTCTTATATAAAGTGTTGTACTATTCTCAAATGGTGTCCTATGTTCAATTCTCTTTTCTAAAGGATTATGAACTTGAGCATAGAGATTAACTAAAAGACTTTTCTTGTGTATTTCCTAAAGACCAACATGATACCCAGAGATGATATCACATTAGACTTACAGTGGCCCCACCCTTAGTGACTGAAGTCCTTACAAGAAGAGAAGACAGAGAAACACAGGGAAAGCCCTGTGAAGATGGATGCAGAGACAGAGTGATGCTGCCTCAAGCCAAGAAATGCCAGGAGCCATCAGGAGCAGGAAGATGCAAGGAAGGCAAAGAAGGATTCTTCCCTGGAGCACAGCCCTGCTGACAACAGTAAAAGAATGTATTTCTATTGTTTTAAGTCACTTGATTTGTACTAGTCTTTTACAATTGGCCTAGGAAATACTTATAGTAATTTCAATTACATATGGTGAATCTTATTTGCTAGACACCTCCATCCTCTCTCATCCATTGGTAGCATTGAGGGCACTTCCATTTTCAGCCCCTTCTCCCTAATGGAGATATCACCCAACCCTCCTGTTCTTTGCCTACTTTCCTGACCACTTCTCACTCTATTCTCATGACAACTCTTCCTTTTATAGTCCTTTAATGATTGCTTTTCTTCAGAATTGTGTCTGTAATCTGCTTCTCTTCTCACCCTGCACCTATGTCTTGAAACCCAATTCTTAGACCCTTGTTGATTAGGTGAAATCCCTACTTATTCTTCAATATTCAAATCTACGGTTATCTTTCTTACTACCAGCCCTGCCCCAAAAGATCAGACAATGCCTATCACAGATATCTTATACAAAACTGTTTCAATAGCTATGATTATGCACTGAAATTTATTTCCTTATACATGGGACTTTCCAATTAAGATGCTATAGGCAGTATGCTACCTTAATTTTCTTTCTATCTGTAGGGCCTGCTATCAAAATACCTAAGACACGCTTGGTACATGACTACAAACTGAATGAATGATGAATTAAATGAACTGAACATTACACTGCCAACATTACTTAAGAAAAAAATCCCTTCTAGATTCAGAAGCTATTATCAGAACATGAATTTTAAACTATATTTCTTTGATTATAAGATATATAAACCTCAAAGACATATTGAAACATAGTTTTGTCATTTTTTAAAGTTACAAAAATATCAATTAAAAAACTAGTACAGCAGTATTTGTTTATTACTAATAATATATAAGCTATGTTACAATATGCTTGAATTTTTAATCACTTCATCCTACATATAATCTACATAGTGTCCTTAAGAAATTGGGTCCCTCTTTGTATTCATATGATTTCAAGTTGGTGATAAAGAATTGGTCACGAAGACAATCCACCTGGACCACACAACTGTGCACATATTAAAGGATAGCCTATCATAACAACACATGCAGAACGTGCCCAGAGAAACAAAAGGTTATCACTAGGCAGTAGAGGGGACTTAGTAGACAAAATGCTTGCCAGCCACAGAACAGTGCTGTGGGAAGGCACTTACCTTTGAGAGCCATAGCTTTCATTTCTGAAGGCTCACTCTCATTACGCTGCAACTTCCGCTTAGAGACTGATGATGATTTCCCCAAGTTGAAAAATGAACGCCAGCTGCCCACAGGAGATTTCTTCATCTTATTTTGAGGCCTCTTTCTATGAGACAGAAAATAATTAATCAATGTTAAGACAGCCAAGAGTCTATCTTATAGAAAAAAAATGAACAAATAGTAGAAAGAACAAAACAAACCAAACAACCTGGAGAGGCATAGCTGAAAGAATAAACAAGCCCCCTCCTTCTACAGGGTACACGCAACACAGTGCAGCTAAAGCATGAAATGGAACTTAAAGGAGCAGATTTCTTATTAGTAACCAGTTTCACAAAGATCATTTTTATGCATATCTTCATATTTACAGCCAACATCACAAGCTGCAACGAAGTGAGAATAAGACACAAATGCAAATAGAACTATTCGGACCTCCAAAAATAAAACACAGTTGAATAAAATGATTTTAGGTATGAGTAGAGAGAATAAGAACAAAAAAAGAAAAAACCAGTATACATTTAATGCCAAACACTGCATTAACACCTTATACATAGTATTTCCTTTAAATCAGATATAATTATATTAAGATATAATCATATTTTCATTGTACAGCTGAAGAAATTAGTCATTCAAGTAACTTCCTTAAAGTTATAAAAGTAGTAAGTGATGGAGTCAGGTTTGAAACCCAAGTCTATCTACACCCCAGTATCTACTCTTTTAAATGCAAGTCTATAAGGAAGATCTTGAGTAAATTATGGAGCTAAAGTATAAAACCAAGATGCTAAGAGTATGTCTCAACTTTTTGCTCTTTTAGTCATGGGAAGCAAAAGGAAGCTAGAGGAGTATAATAAAATATGGGAAAAAGACATTCTAATGCATTATTATTAGTACAATCCCATCCAGAGAAGTGAGATCCTTACATTCATGTGCAATAGCCAAAGGAGTAGCAGAGACATCAAAAATAACTTTTACATACATTAATCTTCCTACTATAACCTAGTAAAGAAGATACAGAAACCATGTTATTATCATTTCTTTAGAGGTACAGAGAATTTCAGAGCTGGAAAGGACACTGACAGGGCACACTACAGTGGTTCTCTAATTTTTGAAAACATCACAACTGCTTGGGAAGCTTGACAAAGGACTTATCCTAGAGCTCCTGGTACAGTGGGCTTGGAATGGGGCTGGAGGATTACTACAGCTATTAGGTGACATTGGTGTTGTTGGTCAAGAGAATACACTTTAAGAACCACTGACCTATCTGAACCTTAACATGGAACCAATTTCAAGCAAGTCATTATCCACTTACTTTCTGAATAAACTGTTCCAAAACAGCTTACTTCTAAACAAATTTCTAAAAAACGTATCTTGGAGAGAAAAATCCACACCACATAAATAGTGCACCATTTTTGCCCAAATGACTTTTTTTTATGACATTATTCTGTGATGCTTTTGCAAAACTAATTCTTATCATTCCCTTTGAGGTGTTAAGCATCATTCACATTCAGATAAACAGGGTTTGTGGGACTGGCCCATAATTTAATATGTGAATACTATAGTACAAAATTAAATGTGAAACAGACCTGGAATGTGGCTTAGTGGTAGAGTGCTTGCCTGGCATGTGCAAAGCCCTGGGTTTGATCCCTAGCACCTCCAAAAAGTTCAGAAATAAAAACTAAAAGGAAGTAATAGCACATGGCTATGAAAATCACATTCTTAAATAGGAATTAATAAATTTTACCTTTCAAGTGGGAATTCAATTATGGTATGAAATTTCCCCTGAAGTGCAGCAGGTCCTTCTCCTACTTCAATATATTTATTTTCAGTTACAACTGGAGAATTGACCTGAGCCTGTGTTCTTGCCTGGGCTTCCTCCAATGTCAGCAGCTTGGTGGATGGAGAGGATACCAACAGGGATTTGGGCCTTGACAGAGAAGCTTCAAAAAGAAAAAGAAAGAAATGACGTAGTCAACAATTTTAGCATGTATCAACCTGTTTATCCTCTATCTGCCAATCAGTGTTGTATCATATTTCCTTCTGGTCTTTTAAATGGCAATAATCAAAGCACTTTATATCCAGAGAGAAACACAAAATGACATAACCAGACCACAGCCACACACACACACACACACACACACACACACACAACTTCTTTAATAATTTATTTTCCCTTCTTAAAAGATAACCAAAAGGCATTTTTAGTTTTGGAAGAAATTTTTCTTCTCTGTTCCACAAAGTACCTTAATATACATCAATAAAAGGTGCCAAGACTTGTTTTATACGTCATGAACTTAGATCACAATAGGTCTGATATATAGTGTTCATTGTATTCACACAAAATAACTCAATTTGTGCATTATGAAAAATGGACATAAATTCGCTGTCTTCTAATGCCATATTTTAATTGAGACAAGCAATACAAAGTTTTCTATCTTTTAGAAGTTTAGATACATGTTTCCAGGAGCAAATAAAATCTGTGTCATACCTGCCCCTTCCTGCATGACTGCACTGATTTTGCCACTGAAGAGCACGTCTACATGATTGAGGATGAACTCAACAACCACAGACTGAATCCTTACTTCCATGAAAGCAGCTGTTCCACTGAAACAGGCAGACTCTATCTGTTTTGATCTGTGAGGTAAACAACATTGCCATCAATTACAAAGAGAACAGTCATAAAGAACATCTTTTAAAAATGTGTAAATCACAGGCAAATCAGAGAAAGAAATCATACTTTTATAGTAACTTAGCTAAGCCCCATATGCCTATTTTGGGGAGATGCTAATAAAAGAAATAATTTGCCTTCCTCTTTAAATTTTTCCTTAACAAACACTGATGAATTACACTTTTGGTTCTAGTAATAGAACTAAAACAATCAGTTCTATTAAAGGTCATAAGTCAAATTACCGAAGCAGGTTTGGAGCCCAGACAATTGCTAGATTTTTTGCATGCATATTTGTGATGGAACAGTAGTCCGCAAGAAGAGACAAGTGCCTCATCAGGAACTCCAGTGTTCTAAAAAATGAAATACAACATATTAACAGACAAAGACTTTATGGAGCAGTATATAGCATAAAAGCCACTAATTGATTTGTAAATTTTCAATAGAAAGAGACCATACAAACCCAAGCACATTTTTTGCTGCCTACTAAGTTCAAATATTATTAGAATTGAATTCTCCACAAAAGCTATTTTCTGGAACAAAGGACATTTTGAAGATATAATATTTACTTGCAATAGACAACTAATAAGAAAGGATTTAAATACTTCCATGAAAGAAAAAAAAAATGTTTCAAAGGCCAAAAATAAAAATTCCAACAGACATCAAGGGGAGACTATTTGAGCAACCACACACAAATATTATCTATCAGTTATCACATCTCAGTGTCCCTATATCTAAATGGATAGGGATTAAAACTATTAAAAACAAACAAATGAAAGTCAGAAATATAAGATTTTATTATTAGAAACAGCAATGAAAGTAAAATTTTGGTCTACATATAAGCCACAAAGATTCTGGAGGGCCTAACAAGGACTTGGGAGGAGCAGGAAGATAGCTTTGGGACTAGGAACCCTGTTTTGTCAGGGGGAATCTCATTTAATTCTCATAGTCTAATCACATACAGTATTCCCAGCTCCTTTGTAGGGAGGGAGAAGTCAAGGCTAACCTGAAATTATACAGACAAGCAGTGGCAATGACAGGATTCAAATCAAGGTCAGCATGGATTGAAACTGCCTGCTCCTTCAACAGCATCTATGGTAGTTTTTGTCCCTCCTGTATATAATCAGATAAAAAACACAGACAGCTGGCCTAGCTGGGCACAGTAGTGTACACTTGAAATCCCAGCAACTCATGAGGCTGAGGCAGGAGGATCGCCAGTTCAAGGACAGCCTCAGCAACTTTGCAAGACCCTCAGCAATTTTGTGAGACCCTGTCTTAAAACAAAATATTAATAATAATAATAATAGACTGGTGATACAGTAAAGCACCCCTGGATTTAATCCCTGGCAAGTTTATGTACACACACACACACACACACACACACCAAAAATAAATAAATAAAAATTAAAAAAACACAAAAAGAGAAAAGAAAAGTGACCTGGGCTGGAGATTATGTAGAGGTGGGAAGCTTTAAGAAATGTGTCTAAAAGACAATGTAAGAAATAAAAAATTAAAATAACCAAAGATACCTATTTAGTTCATCTGATTATAAAGATGTTTTTAAAAGTTAATGGAGAATTTCAGTCAGGACCCCATGAAGTGAGCACTTTCATATTCAGCAGATGAGAGTGGAAACTGCATAAACCTTCCTGGAATACAACTGGGGACTGTTTTATATTGATAATAAAAATGTTAGTATACTTTGGTTTTCAGAATTGCACTGCTAGCTTTTTATCCTGAAAAAAAGTCTAGATTACATGTAAATGGATGATCCTCATAGTAATATTCAAAATTGGAAAAAAAAACAGTAGTACGTTGATCAAATATCAAATTAGGGGAACATGAAAGAACACTTAAAATCATATTTTTCAAGAACATTTAAGGAATTAAAACATGTAAGTGTTAAAATCTTAGATTAAAAGCCTGAATCAAAAGATATAAAGTAGGACACATACGTATAAATTATACAGAAGAAACTATAATTATAATATTACAAAATGAGAAGTATGTAACAAAAAATTATATATATTGTAGAGTAGAATAGATATATAATAAGCAATATATATAATTCAGGTTGGGCTTACTATGGTTATGTAATATAGATTCAGGTAAAGAGGGTAATATTAGGATCTACAATATACACACATATATAGTATCAAGCAACTGAATATATAGTGTACAAAACATATAAAATACACATGCAATGTATATTATTAAACACTTATTATGTTCAAGGCTTTATTCTGAAAATATAATGATAAACAAGACAGAATTCATGACCTTAAGAAGTTCATGTTTTAGAGAGGTTACATACTGAATAGGTAATAAATTATATATAAAAAACATATAGACGGGGCTGGGGTTGTGGCTTAGTGGTAGAGCACTTTCCTAGCATGTGTGAGGTACTGGGTTTGATTCTCAGCACCACATATAAATAAAGATCCACTGACAACTAAAAAATATTTTAAAAAAACATATAGTCAGATAGGTATTCAATATATAATATGTTGAAGGAAAGATACCTAATGTTTAATAGAAAAGACTACATAGATAGTAGGGGAGCAATATGAAATAAGAATGAAATTATGGCATTTGCTGGTAAATGGATGAAGTTGAAGAATGTCAGGCTAAAAGAAATAAGCCAATCCCCCAAAACAAAGGTCGAATGTTTTTCTCTGATATGTGGATGCTAATTCACAATAAGGGGGGCGGGGGTGCTAGGGAAGAACAGAGTTCTTCTAGGTAGAGGGGAGTGAAGGGAGGGGAGGAGATATGGGGATAAGAAAGATAGTAGAATAAAACAGACATTATTACCTTATGTACATATATGACTGCATGACTGATGTGATTTTATAATATATACAAGCAGAAAAATGAGAAATTATACCCCATCTATGTATGATATATCAAAGTGCATAAATGCATTCCATTGTCATATATAACTAATTAAAACAAAGTGAAAAAATAAAAAAGACTGAGGATGTAGTTCAGAGGTAGAGTGTTCCTGGATTCAAACCCCTGTACTGAAGAAAAACAAAAAGAAGAAAGAGGAAAAGTGGGAGGAGGGGGAAAAGAAATTATCAGTATTCTGTTCATGAACATGAAGACTGATGTTTAGAGATATCACACAGGTAGTAAGGGATAGATTTGGAAATTCCAAACTCAAGCCAACCTATCAAAGCCAATATTACCTTGTACCAGGTTCCTTTCACTGACGAGTTAATAAAGAATGTCTTCTCCCTCAATAATATTCTTTAAATAACTCTGTATTAATCAGACTTATCTCCTTGGCTTTCCTTTACAGTATAAATACATAAATTTTCTTTGGCTTATGTCATAAACGCTCCTTAATTTTCCTTTTTCACTATTCAATGGATTCTTAGATCCCTTTAATTTTATCAAATTTCTCCTAAGACATTAACAGAACAGTAAGTCAATGCTAGATTACCTTCTCACTCATGCCCATTATGCATTTGCATGTAGAGTGCTGATTTTAAAATATGGTCTGATTTTAGTACAGATTAAAAAAATGTTAGGTTGGTTTAATGCTGAGTAGAGTACTGATTTAAAAAATGATATATAAGCAATGTCATTTTGAAAATAAATCAGCATTAAACTATTATTTGTACTAGAATTTGTGCTAAATCTAATTTCTTTTTAACAACTGAATTTTAAAAATGTCTTAATTCTTTTTGCATACTATAATATACAGTTTCAACTGTTTTCTTTCTTTCACTAAATGGCAAAGCAATCCTTAATTTTATTCTGGTCTTCTCAGACATAAACAAAAATATATCTGAAAATTCAAACTAACATATAAATCAAACGGGTTTAAAAGGTAGCAACAAGAGAGTCTAGTTGAGTGGGAGAGGGCATCTAACTAGCATGTGCAAGGTTCAAGGTTCAACTGTAGCACCACTACCAAAAAAAAAAAAAAGTAGCAAGACAAAATTAGAATACAATAAAACCTAACAGAAAAAACAAACAGACAAAACCTCAGGTTTAGTCAAAACATATATGAATAAAATCCATTCCAGAGAAGTGGAACTTCAAGGAAATTTAAGTAATTAGAAACCCAAAGGAAGGGAAAAATCAACATTTTTACAAATCAACTGACATGCCTCTGGTGGATATTCACCAATGTGATTCACCTGTAGTGTGGCGGGGGGAGCTGCTGAATGACATCATGAATTTTTATCAGCCTTTCTTCATCTGTTGCTGCTGAAACAGCATCCTGTAACAACAGTTCATAACAGAATAAACCAGTAGGTTTTGCTGGTAAAAATGAGAGTTCTTCATTTATCATTCTGTTTTTCCTCTGAGATTATAAGATTAACTCACTGTATTCTTTGATGCTAAATGACAAGGAAACACAATAGAGCCTGAAGGATGCAAACTTGGTTTTCACACAATGTCAACACTGGAATCTACTAAATCATAATGCTTAAAAACACAGGTGGTAAGGTCAGTGGCTCAAAATCAGAACTAAAAGAATGATAATGCGAAAACAGCAATCATCACCACAGACTAGCTGGCAATAATTGGTGGGTTTTTTGTTTTGTTTTGTTATGTTTTAAGGGGCTATTTTGGTCCCACATATCCACACGGGACCACACCAAACGTCATATAAATTAAACAAAAAAATAGCAGAGCTCTACACCAAGACTTTGAGTCAAGTATGACTGATACTTACAGAAAATTTCTCATACAGCTGGTAGGTGAGCAGAGGGTTTGGGAGCTCTCGGAAGTACAGCTTACAGAGGGAGCCCACCGAATGGATGTCTTGAACATAAGGTTCCTTCGTCAGGTCGGGGACATGCTCGGAGTCAAATTCATGGCTGACTCAGATGGATGAGGACAAAACAAAATTATGTGACTGAGAAAAGCAAATACATGACTTAAATCCTGAAAGCAACAATACAAAATGTTCACCTCTAATCTCAGTGAGTTACTGTTTTCTTCAAATTAAAATTCATGTTAAGTTATATTTGGACTTCAGCAGTAACCAGATATATTATTATTAGAGAGATATCTATGTGGAAATTAAGGGCATAGCTTTAATATTAAAATGGAAATAATCTCTGGCCCAAAACGCTCAACTTTACCTCAGTGAATTGCTATTTTCTTCAAATTATTAAAATTTATATAAGTTATCTCTGGACTTCAGCAGTAAGTGGATGTATTACCACAAGATAAGCATCTTTCTACATAGAAATTAATGGCATAGCTTTAATATTAAAATGGGCAATGACCTCTGAAATGCATTCAAAAGACTAGCTCTTACAGCACATCAATTTGAAAACAGGATTCCAAATTTCTGATGGTTTGAATAACTAATACTTTGGCAACTCCGAAATCCAGGGTTGAGTAGCAACTCGTCTACAAACAACTAGATACAGAAACTTCTCAGCTACAAGTAGTATACAGCTCAAGCAGGATAAGAAAGCCAGAAACAATATAAAGTAATTCCTAGCAAATAACAAATTTTAATAGACAGTAAAATCTATAATATTAGAGTGAGTGAAATAAAAGCTGTGCTCTAGGGGATGGGGTTGTGGCTCAGTGGTAGAGCGCTCGCCTAGCATGTTTGAGGTGCTGGGTTCGATCCTCAGCACCACATAAAAATAAATAAATAAAATAAAGGTATTGTGTCCAACTACAACTAAAAACAAAATATTTAAAAAAAGTTGTGCTCTAAATTCTAAGGCAAATTAAATTTAATCTCCAGGAGGTTAATTAATATTAATTCATAGGCATGAAGCTAACTATCATCTGAAGAATTAATGTGTGTGGACAATATAAATATGAAATTTACCATGTCTGAAACTAAAGAGTAAACAGTCTTCAGTACAAAAACTGATTTAAGTGCTTTCTAACATGTATTCCTAAAAACAAAGATGAGCTCTGTGGTTAATTAAAGTAGTAAAATTCCTACAGAGTAGTGGCAGTTACCATGCATCACAGTGAAAAAGAAATAACAGTATATCAAGAATAGCCCAGAATCCAAGAGGTAAGCAAAAATAAAATTTGTATTTTATTTATAGAGGATACCACTACTTTTATCTCATACATAAACATACACTACTGAATTAGGGTCAAAGGAGATTAGAAAAGGTTTCACTCACATCAATTTTAATTAAGAACCAAAGAATAATTTATTATAATGTAAATTTCACCCCCCACTGTTGTTATGAGTTCAAACTCATTTGTTAATAACTTCAAACATCACAAAGAGGAAAAGAAATACACAATACAGTACTGAAGAGGTTAAGGTGCATGGTTCTCTGACACTACAGATAAAGAAATGCCATTTAGCAGAATATGATGCTAAGTGAAGTTAGCCAATCCCAAAACCAAATGCCAAATGTTTTTTCTGATATAAGGAGGCTGATTCATAGTGGGGTTGGGAGGGGAAGCCTGGGAGGAATAGACGAACTCTAGACAGGGCAAAGGAATGGGAGGTCAAGGGAGAGGGAATGGGGGTATGAGAGACAGTGGAATGAAACGGACATGATTACCCTAAGTACATGTATGAAGACACAAATGGTGTGAATATACTTTGTATATAATCAGAGATATGAAAAATTGTGCTCTATGTGTAATACGATCTGTAAGGCATTCTGCTATCATATGTAACAAATTAGATTAAAAAACTTTTTAAAAAAGAGAGAACAATATGGATAAAAATTATACAGAGAGAACAATATGGGTATTATATCCTATTTTATCTCAACTATCTTACCAAAATTATGATTATCAATGTAAGTTACTCAGTTTTAAAATAATTGCATTTTAATGAGCTGATCAGGAATAAAAATGAAAATGCCATGGACAGTTATTACCGTAGTCTCTGGATATTGGAGGCAACTCCAGAAAGACGATATATTCCATCCACAATGCCATATCTCTCAATGAATGCTGTGCAGCTTTGGAGAACCTGGGGAACTAAAGAAAAATTTCATATACACAGATAAAACTGGTAGTATTCCATGGAATGCAAATTACCAAAATTAAGAATGTCTTATTTTTCATAAGAAGAATAAAATTTGTAAATTAATAATAAAAGGGAAGGGAGGATTAATTCACTACAAAAATGATGAGGGTATGTGTACTTAACTTCACACATAAAGTACATTAGTAGTTCCTAAATAATCAAGACTGGCTTGGTTCATAGCTCCACAGGAAAGTCTCCAGAGCTTTCTGCAGTAAACTTATCGACTCATGTTACAACAGAAAGGTGAACTATTAAGCCCTAACACCATAACTGGTTAAAATAAAAATACAGCTGTTTGGCTGAATTTCATACACAGCAAATGGATATACAAAGTCAAATGCTTATTCCAACAAGTTACTTTTAAGTGCTACAATATTTCACCTCTTAAAAAGGTTTATTTCTCATAGTTAATGTTAATTCTAATTTTATTAAATAAGCAAAATATCAACATAATGCAAAGGTCAAAGCAATTTCAAATAGATGTAATCTTTTCACTCCATGCTTATCTTTACACTAAATTTACTTATTTTTTACTTGACATTATCCAGTTTTCATAAAGAGAACTTTAAGGGTAAATAGAAAGAAGAGTACTTTCTGGTTAGCTTAGTGAATATACATATCTGAATGATTATTTTGGGGGTCTCTGGTCAGGAATAGAACTTTTAAAATATATAATAAAAATTTTAATAACCATTCACAATTTTATAATAGCTGAGATGTGAAAACTCTTCATTTTCTAATGCAGACTAGTCAATTTATAGGCTTTAGTGACTATGATCATTTGATAATGTTAGTTAAAATTCCTGAGAAGAAACACTTCAAAGATATTATATGGTCTGCAAAAAGCAGACTAAAGATGAAACATTCAGAGTGGCAAATAAAACAAATGAGATAATTAACATAATAAAATTAATAAGATAATTTTAGCTAATGTATTTCATTCACAGTATATAAATAAGTCATTCCTTTATTATTACATCACATTTTTCTTAGATTTTCCTTTTTTTTTTTTTTTTTTTTGCTGGTCTTTCTTATAGTCTATCTTTTAAATCCTGTCAAATCCTATAAATTGTGTTAAAACTTGAGCTTCTTCTCTTTGATTAAAAAACTAAACAGCAGTTCATAGTGCAGACCACTTCATACTGTCAGGTGGAGTGCCTTTACAATGTACATGTTCTAATTCTCACCAACATCCTATGGCAAAGTCCTATCCTAATCCCCATTTTACAGAAAAGAAACTGCCTCTGTGATGACATTTTTACCCAAGGGCAAACAGGAAATGGTGATGAATTAAGATCCTGACTCAAGCAATCCAAGCACAGAGTCAATGCTTTAAACTTAGGGCAATGTAGTGCTTGGCCGGCTTATGCACTGGCAATGAAGAGCAGCAGAATTGCTGGGCATTTTTTTGTGGACAGACTTTGATGTAAACAATCTGTGTGTAAATGAAATGTTAAATATAAGTATCTTTATAAGAGCTTAAGTTTTATTTCAGATATTGTTCTATGAATGATAACCTTAGGTTTCTGCCTTAGGTTTCTACTCTATAAACTAGCAGTAGAATAATAAAATTAGGGATTAAATATTTCCTATCACCTACTTTAAATGAAATATAGTTAGAGATTACTGAGATAATTAACATAATTACTTAAAGAAAGACAAAAAACAGAGCTTTAATTTTTTTCTTTAAAAACGCTTCTCTTAGGTATGCTCCAAATTAGCATGCTAACTTACCCAGGTACCCAAAATATTGGCCTTGGGAGAAAATTCTACAAGCACAGGATTTTATTTCCATATTATTAGGCTCTCCTAGCATACATTAAAATTTTTTTTCAAAATAAGCTGCCATTTACAAAAAAGGATCACATTCACTGGATGTGTACATCCACTTGATAGTAGATTCATACCTGCTTAAATTCTCCCAAATAAGTAGGAAAACTTTGAAAACATACAGAATAAAAGATTTTTCCCTGGATAATGTGAAAACCCCTACGGACATAATACTTCATGGGAAATGTCTGCATTGCTTCTTTTTATTGGGGAGGGGTGTACCAGGGATTGAACTCAGGGGCGATCAACCACTGAGCCATATCCCCAGCCCTATTTTGTATTTTATTTAGAGACGGGGGCTCATTGAGTTGCTTAGCACTTTACTAAATTGCTGAGGCTGGCTTTGAACTCAAGATTCTCCTGTTTTGGCTTCCCGCACTACTGGGATTACAGGCATGCACGGGTGCACCCCACTCTCTGCTTTGCTTCTTTACATTTAATATTCCTTAACTAAAAGAACTCAACGTCTACAAAATAATCACATCAAACTTAATAAATAAAATTGCATGATAACTACTTAAAATTTTAAGCAAGATAAATGATTTAATAGCCATTCCCACCCACAACCATTTAACAAATGAGCCAAATGAACATGAAAAAAATGACCCAGTCAAAATAGAACATCAGAAACCTCCAAGAGATAATTTGACTAAAAATTATTTCCATGCATACCAAATAATACAGTTTTGATTTTTTATACGACCACATGACAACCGAATAAGAGGAAATGTTTAAATAAAAACTAGTAATCCTTTTAAGTAGAATTGTGGCTTACAGAAGTAGGAATAAGTATAACAAAAATTGGCCTCTAATTTTTTTTGACAGTCATGGTTTTGTTGTTCTTTTCTCTTCATTCATTCATTCATTCACTAGCTTACTTACCAACTATCTTCTTACTAAGTCACTTCTGTCTGTTAGGGATCAAGTAGGTTTTGTCAGAACAGATGAAAAAGAACTGTTTTTTTTGTAATGGAGTGGCTTCCAGGTTAAGAGCATAAAAGATAGTATAACATAGAATAAGCATCATGATTCTTGGTTAACAAATTATGACTACCTAGAGGATTAACTTTGGGGTGATTTGGGGCTTGTTTCTTTCTACTGTGCTCTGACTATAATATTCTCGCATATATACAATAGTTTAAAAAGGTCTCTTGCTGAAAGGAATGAATAACTTCAAACCGAAACAGACATACACATACGTGCAGGCAAACAGAGTTTCCTCTTCTTTGGTTTTAAAATATCTTTTTTACCAAACCTAACTTTACCTATTTTCTCCAAAGTTCTATTTTTTTATTAGCAATCTAATTTCAAACTTTTAAGGAAATCCTGTTTTAAATATGTGCATCAAATAAAACAAGTCCTATGAATAAAAGTCAATAATACTTAAAACTTTGTTCCACTGGAATGGATTCTGTCGTAATTAGGGAATATGCAAACACTGTAGTTAAGTCTTTCATTTGTTGAGAAGAAATGAGATATTAGCATCTGTCCTCATTTATCATTCTTATTAAGAGTGGAAACATACATAAAATTTCTATGGTCCAACTCAAATTTGCTGAATTAATCTCTGAAAGTTAGTGAGCATGGCAGAATAACTTGGAAAATATGGGCTCATATTAATGATCTCACCTACGCAAGGTTGCATAACAGCAAAAGATACCAAAAAAATCAATGTAACAAAAAACCATTTTGATCCTATAATTAAGAATGCCCCATGCAGAAGGCAAATTAATCTAATCTACACCTAAAAATACTCTGTGGGCAAAATTTTTTTAGAAAATTGGTTCTATAGGTAACTGTGATACAAAATCTTTAATCAGTTCGATTATAAACATTGTGACAGGTGAAACTCTGTGAGATCATTCTGAGTGAACACTGGCACCAGGTACCACAAATTAAAGAATAAAAAGAAAACTGCCTTGTCAGGCTTGTAGGTGATTTCTTAAAACATCTTTCATTTTATTTTATTTTATTTATTTTTTTGGTACTGGGGATTGAACTCAGGAACACTCAACCACTGAGCCACATCCCCAGCCTATTTTAGTTAGAGACAGGGTGTCACTGAATTGCTTAGTGTCTCACCCTTGTTGAGGATGGCTTTGAACTCTCTATTCTCCTGTCTCAGCCTCCTGAACTGCTGGGATTACAGGCATGTGCCACCACACTCAGCTTCTTAAAACATCTTATGTAGAAGAAACAGGTCAGGTTTGTCTCTTGCTCGAACTGGGAGGTGCTCAAAACTTTAGAAAGTGTAACAAGGTAATCTCACTATAATCATTCACTAGGAACACAATTCAGAGAATGAGTCACTTTAGAAAAATCATTATTCTGAATGTGCTTCCTTTTCAGAAAAATCTGATGAAAAGTCTATCTTGTTTAGGGTAAAGACATCACAAGTCATTTGCAGCTTAACAATAAGGACACATTTTGAGAAATGCAAAGTTAGGTGATTTCCTTTTTTTTTTTTTCCAACAATAGAGTATACCTAATATACAGATCTAGATGGGACAGCTTACTACACACCTTGGCTATATAATATAGCCTAGCACTCCTTGGCTATAAAGCTGTCCAGCATATTACCACACTGAATACCATAGGCAATTGTAGCACAAGGGTGAATACTTATGTGTCTATACAAAAAAAGGTTAAAATATGGTATAAAGTGTGCACCTATTAGAGGACACTTACATGCACGGAGCTTACAATACTAGAAATTGCTCTGGGTGAGTCAGTGAGTGAGTGGGGTGAATGTGAAGGCTACAAGCACTAGAGTACACTACTGAAGACTATATATACTGTACCTGAGATTTATAAAAATAAATTTTCTTTCTTTACTAATAAATTAACCTTAGATTAAAGTAACTTTTTACTCTATAAACTTTAAAATTTTTTAACTTTCTCAATTGTACAGTAACACTTAGCTAAAAACACAATACATTGCACAACTGTATAAAATATTTCTCTTTATATCCTTAAAGTTTTATCTATCTAAAATTTTTTACTTTCACATATTTTTCAGTTTTTAAACTTTCTTGTTAAAAATAAAGACATAAACATATACAGTAGCCTAGGCTAGGCCTCCAAAGGGTCAGGATTATCAACATAACTATCCTCCACTTCC